GGAAAAGATGCCTGATATGATTTCAATCTTCTTATATTTATTGAGACTTGTTTTGTGGCCTTACATGCAGCCTGTCCTGGAGAATGTTCCATATACACTTGAGAAGAGTGTGTATTCTGATGTTTTTGGATAGAATGTTCTGCATATTATCTATTAAGTCAATCTGCACTAGTATGTCATTGAAGATCATGATACCTTATTGATATTCTATAGGATGATCTCTCCATTGCTGTATATGGGATATTAAAGTCCTCTACTATTATTGTATGACTGTCAATTTATCTCTTTTTTAAAAATATGTTTTTATTGATTTTTAGAGAGAGAGGAAGTGAGAGGGAGAGTGAGAAAAACATCAATGTGAGAGAAATACATCAATTGGCTGCCTTCTTCAGGCCCCCTACTGGGGATTGAGCCCACAACCCAAGCTTGTGCCCTGACTGGGAATCCAACCGATGACCTCTTGGTGCGCAGGATGACACTCAATCTACTGAGCCACACCGGCCGGGCCAATTTATCTCTTTATGTTTGTTAATATTTGCTTTATATATATATATAGGTGTTTTATGTTGGGTACATAAATATTTGCTAGTATTATGTCTTCTTGTTGGATTGATCCCTTTATCATTATGTAGTGCCCTTGTCTCTTTACAATCTTTGAAAGTTAATTTTGTCTGTTATAAGTATTACTACCCCAGCTTTCATATATATATAGTTTGTTTTGTTTATTCTCACCCAAGGATATTTTTCCATTGATTTTTAGAGAGAGTGGAAGGGAGAAGGAGAGACAGAGAGAAACATTGATGTAAGAGAGACACATTGGTCAGTTGCCTCCTACATGTACCCTGACCAGGGCCCGGGAACCTGCAAACTTGGTACGTGCCCTTGACCTGATTCGAACCCAGGACCCTTCAATCTGTGGGCCAACGCTCATCAACTGAGCCAAACTGGCTAGGCCTTCCCATGTCCATTTCCCATCAGTTCTGAACTTGGAAGAGGACCAGGTGTTATTTGAGCCCCTGTCCCAAGCCAACCTAGGATGTGGGGCCATTGCACCAAGGTCGCAAGATATAGCACCAAGGAGAAAAGCTAGGAGACTGCACACATAGGTTGCCGTATTTGTGAATCTAGAACATGTGCATATAAAGGCAAGAGGGCTAATGACCTGCCCCAGGGCATTAATACCAGCTTATAGCTGCAGAGCTGAATTAGGAGTGGGCTCCGTCCTGTGTTCAGGAAGATCTACGTGATGTCACTATTGTGTGTTCAGGGAGAAGATCGACGTGATGTCACTATTGTGTGTTCAGGGAGAAGATCGACGTGATGTCACTATTGTGTGTTCAGGGAGAAGATCGACGTGATGTCACTATTGTGTGTTCAGGGAGAAGATCGACATGATGTCACTATTGTGTGTTCAGGGAGAAGATCGACGTGATGTCACTATTGGGTGTTCAGGAGGGAGTTCTACACAGTATCACTATTATGATCACATGGAGACCACACAGCTCTGCAGCAGGTGTTAACCTGTCAATGTCAGAGCAAGACCGGCGGGGTAAGGACCTGGGGGACAGGACAGAGTTGGCCACTGGGCAGTGGCAGGAAGAGGGCGGCCACCCCATGACTGCTGCAGTTGCCCTGAGCTGGGCCCCGGGACCCACGAGAAGGAGCTTCTTGGGCCGACCTCTCACCCGTCACAGCCATGGAGCAGCTGTGTTGTCCAGGCTGACATTTCGCATGCCTCCTGCTGTTTGGATTTCTCTCGCCTGCCCTTCAGCTGACACTGTGAGGCAGATGCCCCAGGAGTGGTCCTGGCCTCAATACCAGCTGGAGAACTATGGGGACAGGAGCAGGGCTTTGCCTCTGACAGGCTGGCTCGGGTCAGCTCAGTGCCCACTGCTGCGCTGAGCTGACACGACACCTGGCATGAGTCCCTCCTAACCCTGTTGCTCCATCCTGATGGCTCCTGCCCGCCCTGTGTCCCCTGCATGGACAACACACCAGCAGACATGACACAGCCCACATCCCTGCTGGCCTGTGGTGTGTGGTTTTTGACCTCGTGTAGGAAAGTTTTCACAACACAAGCCCAGCTGGTTTTTGCAGTCTTTATTAAAGCTGGGGACAGTGAACCACAGGGAGGGCTTAAGGTAAGAGAAGCAGAGCGAGAGGAAAAGTGAGGGAAAGGGGGCCTTGGAGACAGGGTCAGGGGGTAGCCTGGATCGAGCTGCTCCCCTGGTTGCAAGTCTCGTGGGGTCCCTTAGAGCAGCGGTCGCCAACCTTTCAGACCTCACAGACCACCAGTGGCCCTCGGACACCGGCTGGCGACACTGCCTTAGGGTTTAGGACAGTGATGGCGAACCTGTGACATGCGTATCAGAGGTGACACGCGAACTCATTTTTTGGTTGATTTTTCTTTGTTAAATGGCATTTAAATGTATAAAATAAATATCAAAAATATAAGTCTTTGTTTTACTATGGTTGCAAATATCAAAAAATTTCTACATGTGACACGGCACCAGAGTTAAGTTAGGGTTTTTCAAAATGTGACACGCCGAGCTCAAAAGGTTCGCCATCACTGG